CTGTTGCAGACATGGAGCAAACCCAGTTCCAGCACCTTCAAGCACACTTTCATGCTATATGAACATTTCCCACCAAGTTTCATGACATCTAGCAACACAAATCAGTGCTAAAAGTGACCCACCACATCACTGCTGCAGCAAGTCAGCAAAGCCCTGATTCACTGCTGCCTAGAGACTACAGGTGAGTAGTGGATGCCCCTAACATGGTGTAACACAGAATTAATAGTAGGGCCAGACAGGAGATCTCACACACAGCCCAAAAGAGTTTGAAATTTTTCTTAGTGGAGAAGATGACACTTACTGCTGCAGACACTATTTGGGCAGAAATTCCTTTCAGGAGTGAGAGCCGGATCACTGATCCATGGAGTGAGAGAGAATCTGGGAGTTTTTTCTTCCTAAGGAATTAAGGAACAAACAAAAAGCATTAGAGCAGAATAAAAGCTTGGAACTTTGCCTAACCCAGAGCCAAGCCAGCAGGTAAATTCTGCATACACCTGTAACTCATGCAATTTCCATTCTTCTCCTTGGGGCCACAGAATGAGGTAAGACATGAGATAATCAGCAAAGCCTGCTCTGCCCTGCTGTGCCTGCACACAGTTGGGTTTTAACTCATCTCCTGGAGCAAAAAAACTGACTTCCCCAAATAAATGGCCAGTTTCAAGCACATGTCTGCGAGCCTTAGAATTCACTAATACATCCTGAAAGAACACTTCAGCTCTTTCAGTGAATGAGGAAGTTTAAGCCCATAAAGGTGAGTAACTGTGGAAAAATGCACAACTGGAAAAGGCTCATTTGGAGAATACAGACCCATAGGAAAACTGGGTGTATGGTAAAGAACAGCCTCCAATTAATACACAGCTCACTTCATATGAAAGCTGAAGTGCTTCTGTTTATGGAGAAAATGTCTTTAAAAACTAACTAGTGCAGGATCAGTTATGTCAAAACAGCTCTGGTAAACTCAAAAAGGCAGGACAGGGAAATTCCCCAGCAAAGCTGCAATTTTGCCAAGCTCACACCACCAGAGAGCCAAATTCCCAAAACTAGCAGGGAAACATTGGGTTCTTCTCTCTCCAGAGGTGCATAACCAAGCAGTTCCCACAGAGGTTCATCAAACATGTTGTTAGTAGCTGGTATTATGACTAAGAACCCCTAACCATGGCAACCAGCCTTACCCAAAGGTGACAGAACACCTCCAGGTTTTTCTGCATACTCTGCTGGAAGAAGTTTAAGACACTTCAGGCAACATTTCCCTCAAATAATCTTATTTGAAAAAAGAAGGGGCAGAGAGTCTGTACACCACCCTTTGTCAACATAAACCATCAGACTTCAGAGTGTTTATATCCTGTGCAACTGCTCATGGCACACAAGGCAGCCATGGGAGTGGCTCAGGCCATCATTTGAGTCATTAATGACACACATCAGCATATTAGAGTTAATTATCACATATTAGATGTCAATATTAGCAGTCCACTCACAGAAGTGACAGCAGTTGCCTTTTACAAATAACCACCAGCTGCCTGCAGACTAGGTCAGACACCCCTTGGAAACATTTTCTTTAGAGTCATCATGATTCAGTGTTTTAAAGATTTCATTAAAATTTGGAGAAATTTAACTAATTCATCTCCCATAAAATGCTGTTATTGCTCAAACAGGCCAGCACCCTGTGCAACTACAAATCCCATCTTTGCCTAAGTGACCCTGGAGGAATAACAGTGTCTTGTGAGAAAAGGAGGATTTGTTTCTAACAGATGTAAGCAGAACCCCCTTCACAAATAGTTTGACCTCCCAGGGCATGAGGCTGCAGTACCTTTTCAGGTGTGTCCTGTCCCCACTGTCAGAGCTGGCCACAGAAGAGGTGTCATAGGAGTGTGCATCTGTGTTATCAAGGTTCAAGAGAAAGGGATCCTCCAAAATGAAAGACTCTTCTTCATCATCAGTCTGGAGGGCAAGAATCACCACAGCTTGCTAAATGTTCAAAGTGCACAACAGCAGAACTGAAACACTCGCAAACAGCATCAGTTCAGCAGGGAAATGGAGAAGGAGGGCACAGGAAAGCCTCAGATTTAAAACCCAGAACTATTTACTGCTTTACTGGGCTGATTCTGTGGAAGGTTTCCAGAAGTCACAAAAATCACCAAAGTGGGCTGGAGAATAAGGCAGCTAACCTTTATTCCCCAAATATTTTGTACTCCATCAAAACTTTAACTGACCTTTAACAGAGCTGTTTCCAAGTCTCCAAATTGCCAAGAGAAGGTCTAGAATTATTATCATCTGCTCCAGCACTTCACCAAGTGGCACTTAGAGCCCAGAAGTCCCTCCAGCTACACGAGAGTTGATTTTGCTCTTTTCTCAGCTCTTCTGTTTGCAATCTCTCTCTCCTTTCAGTCTTAGCCTGGAATTTTTTATTATAGTTTTTCAAAAAGCCCCTCTCCCTGATGTGTTCTAAAAGCAGTGCAGCTCCTGTTGGTCTCTCAGCACAAAGCCAGAGGGAGCAAACACAAATCAGCCCCAGCTGATGGCAAACAAGCAGGGAGCAGAGCAGCTGCCCCTCATTTCACTTAAACCTGGCAGCCCTGTGCTCATTAAGCAGCTCTTTCTGAACTGCAGCTATTTGTCTTTTTGGCTCAGACAGATTGTCCTCTGCTAAAATCCATTTCAGAAAATGTTTTGCCAGTCATTCCCATCCTACATTTACTGACATATTGCAGTAAGACTTTGTCTGCACTGATCTGTATTTTCTTCATTATTACCTCTCAAGTTTAAGACTTGAAATCTACTCTTTTGATATGGATGACACTGCCTATCCTTACAGTTTGAGATGACACAAATTAACTAAACTTCCACTACTCAAGGCACCAGTGGAAAAAGGACATAGCTACCCCTACTACTCCTCTTGTTTCTAGCCTGTCTCTGTTTGGGACACCTTCTATGTGAAAGGAACAACACAAACGAAGCTGTGAAGACTCCAGCTCTTATCTCCTCCCACAGCTTCAGAACTACTCTGAATAAGCTGCAATTACTTTTAACTAGAAACAGCTGTTTGGTGACCCTGATCTTTAATAGGCTGTCTAGACTTCAGGTGACTCTCCAGATCTACAGATGAATGTGCTTGGACTTGATGAAAACCTTTTATGCTGCAGCTGTGGATATTAAAAAAAAAAAAAAAACTACCAAAATTCCATATCACACACTGTAGAGCAATTACTCCACTGAGTATGCACCTGCTAGCTATCAGCATCAGGAAACCATGAAACTCTACAATTTTGTTTTCCAGGAAAAACACAGTAAGCCATAAGAATAGAGGAAAAGGAGCATGAGCTGCCTCACCCGAGTCCCCTGTCCGAAGGTTCACTCACCTCATTTAGGATGCTCTCCAGCGTTGGAGGGGTATCAACTTGAGGAATGTCGAATTCTTTGTCGTCAATCTGTACATCAGAAACCACAGCCTGAGTTTAGGTTGCCTACTCCGCCTTCCAAACAGTAATGAAAGCCACATAAAAGCAGCTATGCACACACGCCTCTGCGGGAAAGGAGGCGAGAGCTCCGGGCAGGCTCACACACAGCTTCACCTGGCTGAGCGAGGATAATACTTCCTTCTTGGAGGCTGTGTGAGACTTATTTCCAGAAACAGTCATAGAACACTTCTGATGTTCTGAGAATAAACGCGCTATTGCATTATAAAGAGCTTTGCAGCAAGAGTGAAATTAGTTGACTGACAGTGTACCTGCTACATGAGGCACCCGCCATACAGAACTTTGGAGGTTGTTGATTTTTTTCCTATATACAGTGAAGCACGCGAAATTTACAGTAAATGACAGTGTCACCATACAGAAACTGGCACAGATGAGCCTGGGACCCCCCCGCCGAGCCTCCCTCCCTCCCGGGTGCCTGAGAGGCCCGGCCCTCCCTCGCAGGAGTCTGAGGGGAGCCGCCGGCTCTCCCTCCCTCCCTCCCGGGCTGTGTGAGGGCTCCGACCGTCCCCGCGGTGCCTCAGGGACCCTCGGACCCTCCCTCAGCGCACCCCCGGCCCTGCGGGGAGCGCCCGGGCAGGCACAGCCCCCGCGGCCCGGCCGTGCCGCCTCCGCAGCGCTTCGGGACGCACCAGCTCGCTGCGAGAGTCCAGCTCACGGTCGAGCTCCGCCACGCTCAGCCGGTGCACGGGCGGCTCCGGGCACGGCTCGGCCTCCGCTGGCTCCAGGGCTGCGGCCATGGCCGGGCCGGCTCCGGCGGGACTCGAACCCGCGACCCGAGCCGCCTCCCCACGCAGCCGCAGCGCGGCGGGGCCGCCCCCGCCCAGCCTTAAAGGGGCCGCGCGCCGCAGGTGGGGACCGGGGGGACACAGAGGGACACCAAGGACACGGAACCGGTGCTGCTGCTGCAGGAAAACCTTGTATTTATTGAAAAAGCTCGCATCTGCTCCACGGCTGTGGTTGTCATCCCGGACCCGATGGGTGCGTCAGCCTCCGAGGGAGGAAAATGAACGAAATTAACAATAGGCGCAGAAAGGAGAGGCAGAAACCAACATCCTTCACGCCCCTTCATCCCATGGTGCTTCAGCTAAAGCCAGGAGCGTTTTGCTTCGATTCCCCATATTCTGGAGCCTAAGATTTGGTGTGCACAGGGCCAGGATGCAGTATTGTTCCAGAAAAAAAAATGTCCCTTTTAGGAGAAGATGCAAAAGCCTTTGGGAATTGATGGCCAATTTTAGACAAGGCAGGAGATGGTATAAGCAGATTTGGAGCCCAAGCACTGTGTTGTCTTTTAAAAACCACCTGGAAACAGAAAGCTATGTGGGGTCTCCAAGGGCCCTCTAAGGGCAGGGGGGGCAAATATAAGATAAAACACATTGGAAAGATAAATACCCCCAGTTTCACAATGCCAGACACCCAAACTATGGGTATGTGTCAAGGTAACTCTCCCTGTAAGATCCGAGTCTCTTTTAGTGCAATACAACATCTCCCCATGTGCCCAGGTGGAGGAATGGCCCCTCTGGTGTCCCAGCAGCAGCTGGATCCCTGCTGGGGGTTCCAGCTTTTAAAGGTTCCAACTCAAGGCCCAGAGAACATCCTACACCCGTGCCTTGCCTTACCTGTTAGTCCTCCCCACTGTTCCTCCTGAAGGGGAGCTGTGCTTCCCTGCTCTCTGGAGAAGGCTCTGTCTGGCACCTGGCAGCAAGAGCACATGGATGGGACAGGAACACCCCACACCTCCCCTCCAGGTGACCCTGTGCCAGGCAGGGCCCCACATCCCAGCTCCCCCTCCTGCTGTCCTGGGCCAGGCCAGCTCACAGGGTCAGCAGAGGATCTGCCTCTGCAGGGTCACCTGCTGAGCTCTCAGTCACTGCACAGCAAGAACTGGGGGAAGAGCATTCCCAGGAGCAGGCCAGCAACATCAGCAGAGAGCTGAGCTGCAGGCTTTAGAGATGCCTTAGGAGCAGCAGGTCACACAGAGGTGAGACACTTTTGCTCCTGAGAAATGTCATGACTTCAGACCACACACACAAAGCCAGTGCACATCTACAGGTGTCTGAAGCTACAGTGACCCATTACCACCACAGGCTCTCCTCCATGGAATCCCTTCCTTTCCCCTGCCAGCTGTTTCAGGATGGTCTTCTGCAGCAATGGTGCATCTGCTCCTCTTACAACAGCCACTAATTGTCCTCCCTGGAAGGTGTGGAAAGCAAATCAGTCAGCAAGTGCTCAGGTTGTGTTCTCTGGGCTCTGGAATTCCCCTCAGCAGCACATCACCCACACTATATGTACCAGGCCCTCCTCCCCTCAGAGCTGCTCTGCTCCACAGCAAGAGGGAAACTTTGGAACAACATGCTTTGTGCCCCCTCATCAATCTCAGGATGAAGCAATGCAGCTTGTGAGAGGAGTGAGCTCCTGCAGAAGCAGCACACTGAACCTGAAGGCTCCACAGGGCAGCACAGTGGCTGTATATTCTTATCTGCACAGCATTTGATTACCAGCAGATACAGAGCAAATAAAATTGTTCCATAACATGTTAAAGAAATAAAACATCCTCCCCAAAGGTCTGTTGTTCCCACTAGCACATCATATTTATTGCTATGCAACCACTGGGAAAATATTTTCACTCACTGTATAAAAGAGAAAGACAGGCTCACATTGTCCTCTGTATTTTTCCAGAGCATCAATGGAATCTGCTTCAGCCTAAAAGGAATGTAAAATAAAATAGGTATTTCTAGAAAAGCTTTTCTGCTTCAGAGGGATGCACACACAAGTGCCTGGACTCAGACACCCTCAGCTGGCTGGTACTCACCCCCCACACGGGAAAACACCTCTGGGCCCCAGACTTAGGGGACAAAATGACACTGGTAAGAAGCAGGGGCACAGCCAGCTCACAGCTCACTTCCAGAGCCTGAGAAGCAGGCAGATGTCACCTGCAGGAGCTGGAGCAGCACTCCTGTGGGACAGGGATATCTATTCCCAGCAGCTTGCCTGGGTGAGTCCCAGAGAAAAAGCCTGAACAGTGAATTCAGGGCTCTTGCCCATGAGGCTGAGAAGTGCCAGGAGGAGCTGCAGAGGCAGCAGAGACAGGAGCTGAGCTATGAGAAACCTCACTGTCCTCAGCTCTGTCCTCAGTCCAAGCTGCCACCAGAACACAGAGTCACCATGGCTGAGGCAAGGAGGGACTCGTGAAGGGCTCCAGCCCCAGAACCTGCCCAGGCCAGGGCTGCTCTCAGTGATACAGGAGGTTGTGTCAGTTTTGAGCTTTTCCAAGAATCAGCTCTGCACAGCACTCTGGGAACTTGTCCCAGTGTCCTACACTCCCACCTGAATACTTTTCTAATACACACCCACCTGAATACTTTTCTATTTACTTGGACCTTTCCCTGCTGCAGCTTATCCCATTATCTCATGTCCTGTTCCTGTGTTTCCGTGACAGACGTCAGTCTCTGCCTTCTCCATCCTCCCCCACTGGATATCTGTCCCTTTTCCTCTCCAGGGTGACCAAATCCAGCTCCTTCAGCCCCTCCCTGTACATCAGAGGCAATGTGTTAATAGCTCTGTCTAATGTAACTTGCTTAAGTAGAAAATCTAGAAAGCATAAAGCAGTTGAAGCCTGAAAATCCTTAATTATATGAATTCTTATAGATATGCCCAAGATTCTGTATGTGGCAAGTTCACTCCCAGCAGCTGCAACTCCTGCACTGCTATGGTTTGGGCTAAATATTGGAAAGGGAAGTGATTTCAGCCCTTGGACCTCAGCTGATTTCAGAGGACTGGGTATTTTCAAGCAGTGCCAAGTGAGATCTTACCACAGCAAAATGCAGGAGATTGCTGCCAACTTCATTCTTGATTTTTTGGAACAGATTCACTACTGGTTTGCATGGGCCACACCAGGCTTGAAACACATCAACAACTGCAAGCAGGAAAATGGGTCAGAAGGAGGCACAAATGTGTCAGGTTAGACACAGACCAATAGACCACACGCTAGAAGGGCTGGATTCAGCTCTGAACTGGAAAGCCTTGCAAGGTTTGAAATGCTGCATCAGAGGACAGAATTACATTACAGAATAACAAGCCAAGAATAATGTGGAGGAGTCTCAAGTAGAAACATGGACATGGCTGTGACCTTGGAGATAGCAGATTTCCCAGGGCAAACTGCTGCAGAGGTAGAGCACATGAGGTTTTCCCAAGAACCTTGGGAGCCAGGGCTGTTCCTTGTGCTGGGGACAGTCCTGTTCCAAGCAGTGGAGACTGGACCAGCACTGCTTGGATTGCAGGATGACTGTCCCACATAAATGAATGTTCCACAGCCTCCTGCTGGTCTCAACTTGGTTAGAATATGTTTTTTCTTCCATTCAGGGTAAGGGGCATGGAGAGACTGGTTAAATATCCTTAACACCAGTAATTTCTAACAGTCCTGGCATCCTCTCAACACAGAACAAGAGCAATTCAGTGTGCTGACCAAACCCTTACCAATGAGTCCTTTGAGACACAGCACTTCTTCCCAAAGCTCCTGGCTAGTAATGTTAATCTGTGTGGAAGATTGAAAAACACAGTAAAAGCCACAGTAATTCATCAGGGACTACCCAGTTGCTGCAAACATATTGACAAATCACTCCAGAGGGACACAGCTGCCTGAAGAGGCATTACCTGAGCACTCAGGAAACTCCTCTGACTGTGTTTCTCTCAGGATGTCTCACAAGGTCCAAGAAAAGGCAGAGGGAAAGGGCAGCAGCACCCAGCCAAGGGCAAGTCCTCCCCTGTTTAGTGGCACTACTGGAACAGTGGCTGCCTGGGGGTCCCAGGCTCAGCTGAGGGCCCCAAACTGGGATCCCAAACCCACAGCCCCTGTCAGGGTCTCCATCTGCCTGCCCAGAGTTCCAGTTGAACCACACCTCCTTCAGGCCTAGTCCTCACAGGGCTTATGAACCACCTGATTCTCCAGCAGCAGTTTCTCACCTTGCCTGCACACAAACTCTACTATTTGAGATGTTTCAGCCTTGATAAACTAAACTAGCAAATACACAATTTCCATGATGTCTGGGCATTAGAGGGTGGTCTGAACCCAGCATGTCCTTACCTGAATTCCCTGCTGTTACCTAAAGACTTCCAAAGCACAGTGAGCAGAGAACACAAAGTTCTAGGCTGGGAAGGGCCTGTGGAGTCCTTCATCTAATCTCCTGCACAAAACTCAGCATTAGATCAGCTTGCTCAGGGATTGACCCTGTCAAGGATGCCCTAGACCATTCCACACACAGCACCACCCACTCTATTATCCCACACTCCCAATACTGTTATTAGAAAGGATACAATCCTCCACATTTTCCCCATCTTCCAGGACTTGCCCTTCAGGATGTACTTAGAAAAACAGAGCAAATTAAAATAAAAAAGGCTTCTGGAGAAATACAAGATCTGGTTTTGTTCATCCTGAACAATGAAGATTCCTGATTCCTTCCTCAGTGGGTATTATCAACCCCAGCTACATTGAGACTGCAGTGGAAGACAGTAACTTGCACCAAGGCCAGCTATTTCACAATAATTACACAAATGGGCATTGAAGGGCTGCTAAAATCTCACAGCCAAGAATTGCAAGAGTGGAAACTGCAGTGCAAATGAAATGCCCTCTCCTAGGTGTTCAGAGCTGTGTCACTGGGGGTCACAGGGGGCAGTTTCTCCAGGGCCTTGTCTCACTCAGGAACAGGGAGCTGTTCAGACACCTCTGTTTATTTGCCTGTTCAGCACATGACCCCAAGCTTCGTTTTCTCAGAGAACACCTGCAGAACTACAACATTTAATTATTTATTCCTGGTGGTGGGACCACCCTCAGAGTGTTCCACAGAATGCTAATGAGTGTAAATGATTTATCACAGTATTTTGTGATAATGAATTTGGCCATAAGTTCAAATGCTGGCACTCTTCAAGGTGCTTTGCTAATTTGGATATCCTGAGGCTGCTTGGACTTGGCTTTTCTCTAACAAAAGCAGATCCCTTCCAGGACATCCCCTCATGTCCTACACAAGTTCAGCTTTCATCTGCAGATGTAAAAAATCCCAGCTGTGCAGATGTAGACCTGGATTTCCCTTCAATGCCAATGGGGCACAGTCTAGTTGATGTCAAGTTCCCCATCCCACAGGAACACATCTGGACAAGTAGCAACAGAAACTATTCCTATCTTCATACAGTGCCCCTCTTTCCTGGTTACACATGTTCACATTTCCCAGTGTAAACAGGGAAGAAGCAAGGTCATAGAGCCCGTAATAGCTTTCATTATTTCTCTCTTGTGAAGACTGAACTGCTCTCAAAATTTGGAGCAGATCTGCAGAACCCATTCTTGGTTTTCAATGTTTTTGTGTTGTGAACTGCTCTTAAAACCCCCTTCTCCCCATGAAGTAGTTATAAAGCATCACTAGGTCACCTGTATAGTATAAACAGGAAAAATTCCTTTACACATCACTGTGAAAATAGATTATTCAGCCTTTGAGTCTTTCTTGTACCTTCTAGCTTTTCTACCTTTACAGCAATCTGTCTGAATACATGACCTGGTCAGAAACATCCAGTAATTCTTGCCATCCAGGACATGTGCCAGCCCCACACAAACTCCTAAAATGTCCTCTGAGCTATTAATTTACAAAACAGATGTATTTTGGTCTCTGACAGCAGCCAAACCTGTGCTAGGCCCCAACCACAACCTGCAGCAGCTCCCTCTGCACCCCACAGCCCTGACTGGGGACACATGAGACCTGCAAGGTCCTCCCACATGTCCCACCTGCCTCCAGGGACGCCTCTTCCCCACAAGGACCTCGCAGGGGAGCTTCACCAGCAGAATCTGAGATACCCCAAGACTGAACTCCATCCTTTGCACTTACTGAGAGTTTACAAGGTCTGCTAAAGGCCTGGCTACTACTGACCTGCAGCACTACCTCCTTTTTCTTTGCAGCCATCCTTCTGCACAACAGGGTTCTTTGAGCAGCTGTCCCAAGTACAAAGTGCTACAGATGGCTTCTAATCAACCTGGATCCAAGTGCTGGCCAACCTGCACCACAGAGAGAGGTTTGTACCAGGCTCTGCTGCTCCAGCCCAGGACAGCCCTGACAGCAGAGCTGCAGTGCCCCAAACCCGGACTCACCTTTGCTCACACCTCCCCCAAGAGCCGAGGTGCTGCTGCAGGCCTGAACTGCAGCTCCCTTCCAGGGCCTTGTGCAGCAGCTGGCAGGACCCCAAGGCTGCCATGGCAGCGCGGGCAGTGCCAGGGGAGCGTCAGCCCAGCCCAGCCCAGCCCACTCCCTCCGTCCCTCCCCCGAGGCCGGTGCTGCCTGTAGCTCCATCTCCCCTGGCACTCCGGGAGCAGCAGCTGCAGGTGGAGCCTTTCTGCCTCCTGTGCCTGCCTCGCCTGCCCAGCAGCCCCAGCCCAACACTCACCCTCCACTCCAGTCTTCCCACCTCTCTCCTAAGCTGGGGGCTCAAAGCAAGGCGTGGATCCAGCTGTGAGCTCGCAGCACTGAGCAAGGGTGACCCCTCCAAACAAGCTCAGGTTGTGGAGGTCTGTGGTTTTCTTTTCCTCTCTGCAGTGAGAGCAGTGCTGGTGCTCAGCACCCCTGGTGATGCTGTTTAGGCAGGGCTGCTGCTCTTACCCCATCCCTTCCCACACCTGGGCACACTGGGCTGCAGGGGCACACCTTGGAGCTGCTTCTTGTCACACAGCACACAATGTCTGCTGGCCTGGTCCTCCAGCTGCTCACCATCCTCCTGGCTGAGGATTCAGGTTTTGGTGCATCAAGGCCCCCAGAATGTCTCCTTTGGTGGCAATCAGCCTGCAGAAAAGCCCTGATGATTTTGACCACCACTTGCAAACTGATGGCTCTTGTGCTCACATTTCAGGATTACCAAAGAAAGCCCTTTTAAAGCCATTTTCTACTCTTCAAGAACCTAATCTCAGGCATCTCAATTATTCCTCTGCTTGCTGTGTCACTGCTTCAGCAGTTTTGTGGAGACACAGCATCCACAGCAATGGGTAAAGTCTGTAAAAATAAATTTTAAGAAGTGTGAGATGTTTGCCTTTAGAATATCCTGACACAAACTGCTTTACACAGAGTACTTGGCTTCTTTCACTGCCACAATGCAAATCTGTGACTGGAACAATAGCCATGAGATGTTTTATTTGATTTTCTGTGTGAGAAAGACAGTCCAAATATGGAATGAAAGTGGTGGGGAGAGCCAAGGGTACCATTGTCTGACAGCTGGTGTCTCAAATGCCCTGCTCAACTTCAGTCTGTGGCAATGTGTAACTTCTGAAAGGAGGACTCCCATCACTAGACCCATGTATAAAGAGAGGACATACTTATCAACATCCGTCAGAATGGCTTTTCAGCAGAGAAATGGCCCAACAACAGCAGAACTCCTGGTGATTCATATGATGTCCAGACAAACTTTGCTTTGGTTCTGTAAGCAATCCTGGAATTCACAAGCTGCTGCTACCTCATTAAGTTGGGAAAGCTCTGGGTGACCAGGAAAGTCTGCCCCACTGATTCTCAGGCTGTAGAGAAGCTGACATAGAAAGCTCATATTTCTTCAGGAAGCTGAGAAAAAATCTAGAAGTTCTGGTAAATTTCTTTTTATTTACAGTATTCTTCTTTTTGTACATACCTATAGCAACATCAAAAATTATTCACAAATTTTAACTGAATGTAAAAAAGTTCTCATCCAACAGTTTGTCCTCTCTATACCTGTGGAAAACGTCAACTGTTCTCATGCAGCAACAAGATTGTCTGAGCATTGGTTTTTAGTTTTTCTGGCAGAATCTTAGGAAACCACCTCAAAAACTGTACAGAGATATACTTTTACTCACCTTTTTTCTGAACACCTGTAGGCACCAAAGTTCTATAGGATCAAACTCACATTTGCTTTTAGAAATGTGAGTTGGGGAAGGATGAGAAGAGATACATAAGAACTCGAGCTCCTAAACACAGGCAGGAGTGCAAATGGAGCAGGGAGATGCCCACTGGACAGTTTGGCATTTACAATAACTGCCTCAGAACTTTTTTCTCAGTTCAAGCAAAAATATATTTGATTGAATTTTATAAACAAGACTTTGCTTCTGAGGTACTGAGATTTAACAAGTTCTCACATATTTTTACTTTCCCTTTTGTTCAACCCCCAAAGTCCATCATGAAACATGTGCAGAAGGACATTAAAAACTGCCAGTCACTTACTGCAATGCCAGGGGGGAAAGTGTCAGGTGCTCACTTTTATTTGTCTTTGAGAGTGGAAGAAGTTACATGAAATGCAGATATTCTCCTTTGCAACCAAGTGATAACAGTTATCTGATATACAGCACATTCAAATTCCAGGCCAAACTGTGGTCATATTTTCTGACACAAAGAGTTACCTTGGAAAAAAAGTAAGGCTGTCATCACAATTTGACCTTCTGATTAGAAATAAAAGATTTAGATAATTATCAAAATTGGTTAGCAAAGTTACAGACTTCTCTTCTTGCTGCAGCCTTCCTGAAGCTCAGTGTAAGAAAAGAAGGATTTGGTTTAAGACATTGGCTGCAAACTCTAGTGCCTGTTAGTGCTATGTAAATACAGTGTCTGGAGAGTCTGACTATGAGCTATGGTCTAAACTGAAACCAGAAAGGAGACCTGGGCAGAGTCAGAGCCCTGAACTGCCTGAGGGCTCTGCCATTCCAGCCTGACCTCACACAGTCCCCTTCACTTGCACTTGTGTTTCCACCTGCTCACTTGCAGGCACCATTTCAAGAACATCTGGACAGTCCAGGCTTCTGGATGCAGTCACACCCCACCAATTATCCAGCAATCTAAATCCATGCATGTGTGTATAGCTGCATATATACAGAAAATCTGGAGCAACATTACTGAGTATAAAACAAGACAGAACCCACAGTTTTTCCATCCCTTCCCCAACTTAATGCACCCAGTTGATCATTTGTGGAAATAATTTGGAAGTCACTTAACTATTTGTGAAGATAAAGGATGCAAAACAAAAGCAATCCATTAATCCTGCTTGCCAGCTCCTTCTAGTCTCTGGAAGGTGTAACTTCTGCAACACACTTTGCTCCACTGATATCAGTGATCAGCAAATCCTTCTGACCATGAATAAACCAATCCTTCAGCAATTAGCTGAGCAAGTTCCTGGCTGGCAAAGCAAGTGCTTATTCCTGCTGATCTTGCAGCCACCTGCTCCTTTCTGAAAAGCATCAGTCATGCTAACCCTGAAGTATGAGCTTGTTTTCTAAAAATGTAAAGAAACCCAAACCAATGCAGCTGGCCCATTCCATGGATTTGAGCATGTCATGGATACCAGGTGACTTTGTATTGTGGCAAAGAACTCTTGGACCTTGTCAGTACAGAATGTGCTGCTTGGAATTTGGAGTCTATTGTCTCCCTCTATTTTTCTCTTTAAAAACAAAGTATAATGTAAGTTAAGCTGAAGTTCAGAAATGCATATATTTTACTTAAAAACATTCATCTCTTCAAAATTCAAAATAAACTTTATGGGATACAACAGTTTGGTTTTTTTTTTAAATAACATTTCATTCAAACGGTATATAATTCATTGAAGTATTCGTACAGCAAACAATGGTTAACCCTTGAAAACCTGTAGAAAAAGATTTTCACACAAAAAAAAAGGAAAACCAAAAGTGAGGTCTCACACCCACACACTCAGCCCAGCACACACACGCACTCGAGCACCCACGCACCCACACAAGGCTGCAGCAAAAGCAGAGAATTGGAGGCCCAAAAGGAAAATGATGACTGATTGTTCTATCTGAGAGTCCAGGTAGCTCAGGAAAAAAAAACCCAAAAAACCAAAACAACCCCCCCCACCCCAAGTCCTCTGAGTAAAGAAACTACCTCAAGAAAATTCTCAAGTGCACTGGAGACCTGATCATTCAAACTGTTTCTGCAAAGCAGCTCCCTGCACCTGAGAAAAATGCAGCCCAAGGTGACTTGTGCAAATATAAGGAGTCAGGAGTATCTCCTGCTATTCCTTAAGTAGACATGAGGGGTGTCCATAGATTCAGTTAGTCTTTGATCATGCAAGGTACTGCTGGAGTGCTGTCTTCGCCCTGCAAGAAAGAACAACCCATTAATTACAGGAATATGGCTTCAGCAGCAGCTTCATGGGCAGGCCCAGAATGTGCCAGCAGAGAGGGAGGGAGGATGGCTGAGGAAAAGGCTCCCACACTTTGGAAGGATGGGGCCCGTGGTGCAGAAATGCTCTGTGGGGGTTGTAACTGTTAAAGAATCCCCCTGGCATCCAAGGATAACCTGATCCAGCCAAGGACACTGGATCCCAGCACAAACAGAGGCACTCCCAGCATGGTGGGCCTTCCAAAATCCCACAAGAGCAGGAACTGAAGAGCAATTGCTTTCTGTAATACAGGTGTACCATGAAAAGCAGGTCTTTGACCTGAGAAATCAAGGAGTGTCAACTCAGAATATACTAGAGGCACATTGGTCCTGTCAGGAATCCTGTAGGAATACTGGTCCCACCAAAAGCATACAGTGAGCTGAGTGGGAGGAAGGAGCCAGTCTAATAATGCAATTTATGTAATCTAATATTGCACAACATTTTTGTTAAAACAAAAACACCTCCCACCAGTCTGGGGTTACAATCCCATCATCATGTGGGCTAATTCTGAGTTTCCTCCCACCTGAAGTGAGACACTTTGCTCTTGCTTTGTCCCCCACAGCTCCCAACCTGCTACCATGACCTTAACAGACTTTTCCAGGACCTGATACAACTCATCAACACAAAGAAGATTATTTATTTGTTTCTTCCCAGCTTCCTGCTGTGATCACAAGCCATAAAAGCCATAACAGCTCAGGGGGGCGCTGGTGTGGCAGCAGTGGGATATCAAAATGCTCCTGATGACCATTTTCAGGGCTAATACTCTGGCATAGATTTTAAGATGAGAAGCCCTAACTTTACTACAAAGATGTCTAAAAACACTAGAACATCTTTCATAAAACCAAGAATACCAAATTTCATGCATTTTAAAAACAACTGCACAGTTTTGAGTTGTGTTGTCTGTGTGTGACATCTTTCAAAGATCAGATTTTCTCCTTTGTACAATAAATATGGGCTGTTGCTAACTGTAGGTGGAATAATTGCAAAAGTTTAACATAAAACCCCAGA